AAAATGATAAAGTGTTTGAACATTATTTTTGTTTACTTATGTAAGTTTAATGAAAGTTTTATTATTACTAAATTTAAAAGGGTTTATAAGAAGAAATAAAATTTTACGGGTTCTTAAAATGGGAATATACTTTAAAAGTGACGTGACATTTGTATCTCATGTATGGTAAGGTATACGGGAGATGGGTGTTACAAGGTCAAATGCAAAGATAACACAGTCGAGCCATGAGGTGGGAAGCGGATGGGATTCGTTTATTTTATACATTCATGGATACCGGCAGTAAGTAAAAGCTACATCCTTGACCCTCCAATTCCAAAATCGTTTTATTGGCGGAAAAAAGGAAATGCCTGGACTAATCTTTAATAGAGAATTCATCGGATTAGAAGCTCCATTACAAGTTCGATTGGCACCGTTACAACCTCAAGTGCAAGGTCTTTTCTCTATTAATGCATCTTTAATTTCAGATGCAATTTTTAGATGCTAATTAAAATTTGTTTTTTCATGCAAATTCAGAGGTTAGGAAACATATGACATCCAAAGCTCACTGTAAACTGCATTATCGTGATGGTGAAGAAGAAGCTGAGTTGAAAGAATTATACGACTAAGCAGGCTGCAGTTATGCATCATTTTTTAAAATTTTAACCCTTGATAATTCTTCTTCATCCATAATCATCTTTATCTTTTAAGTTGTTATTGATTATTATCATTTGAAAACAACTCTATGGATGATAGTGGGAATGAATCAGTTGGTTACAGTTGGTGAGAAGGGCAACATTATAGAACATGGTGGTGGCTCGGAGCTTATTATAACCAGAAAATCTGATGTTGGAACTACGATAAAAACAACTGGTTCTAGAGAATACTTGCGCTACTATCGCTGCAAATAACAAGGCTATTACTGCTGCCTTAGCTTTAAGGTCTACTTTCACTCATACTTGTCTTTTGGAACACACCCATCCCCTTCCTTTTTGTTGTGATCCTACTCTCACATCTTCTACACTTCATCTTACAATCGTTCTTTGAGGATAAGATAAAGGACTAGGGAGTTTTTACTATCATTCTCACATCTTTTCATTTATCTTTACATCCTATACTTATGTCTTATGCTATGTTACATATGCTACGTTCATCTTGCTATACTATGCCAATGCATGCATTACTTTTTATGCCAAGTATGATGAACACATGCCTTATATTACATACCATGTTTTAAATGTCAAAAATCATGTATCTTTGAAAGGAAACAAGGGCTGTCGAAAGGGTACATGTTTTAAATGTCAAAAGGAAACAAGGGCTGTCGAAAGGGTACATGTTTATTCGGCCAAGTCTCTTAATTTCCTATATAAAGCCAATGCCTTGCCATTTGTAAGGCATCATCCTTTTGCATATAAATACAATTGAGAGGTTTTCCTTTTTGTCAAGTTCTTTAAGAACTCTATTGACTTATTAAGTGCCTTGTGTGCTTGTAGCATCAATCCTCTATCCTTCCATTGATACTAGCATTTCTTGACTCTTTATAGTCATCGGGACCAAATCCGTTTCTTGTGTTAGACTCCTTTATAGCCTAGTTTCTTCCTTGTTATCTAGGATACTATCCAACTCATTCCATTGTTTCTATAGCCATCACCACGCCTACAAACAACCATCTTCCGCAACCTACTCTATCATCATCATAGCCCACCCTTTATCACTTTCATCAACCACCAAGACTTCTTTTAGAACCTATCTTATTGTAGGTGCTTGCTCTCTAACTAGATCCACAATCAAGGGCACAAGTGCCTTGCATCACTTTTTCTCACCAAACAGTAAAAGGATTTTGAAACCCTTATTTTTCTGTTTTCTCTATTTTAATTTTGTAATAACAATGAACACAAAACTATAATCAAAATAGTAATAGGAACTCTTCATTGCCTTTCATATACAATAATATAGGCTTAGCGATTGTGCACTCGAGAGAACAAATGGTGAAAATGAAAACAACCAATATATCAGGAGTGGAGGTAATGGGGTCGAAAGTTGGCATGGAGAGAAATAATGTCATTCAAAACTTGCCCAAAAATGTCCCATATAAGTTGGTAACTCTCAGGCCCCATGTTATCACTATTTCACTAGTATTTGATATTCTTGAAAATCCTATGCTTTCCAGTTCAGTATGTTATCTAAAATTTGCCTCGTATTAAATACATTATAACTTCATTTAGCCAATATACTCGCATGAGTGACATCACCATAACAATATGCCTTCTCTTTGCCTTTTTCTTATAGAGTTCTTGGCTCTCGAGTGTTCTTTACATTGACTTAGGTGTCTATTTGCATTTGCACTAGTAAATATAATATATACACGTATATTAACTGAAGTAATTTTCGCAACAAAATGAACAACATAACCACATGAAATTAAGTTTTATACGATACATGCATAACAAGCTCCAAAGGTGTTTTTACATGTTCAAGACTCTAACTGTCTGTAGCAGCAATTACCAAATTGTTCACCACTTGCACAGGATCAATCCTCGGCTTCACTTGTTCAATATGCAACTGCTAGAAAATTTTGATCGAATGAATGGTTAAAATCCACATAACCCTTTAAGCAAAGCCACTAGGTTTTCACAATACCAGTGAAAATTTAAGCTCATCAACAGTTTGCTTTGTAAAGGGAAGAAATAGATCTAAATGGTACATACCTAATCATCATAAAAGCGGGATCGACTTCTTTGAGAACTGTGCAAACCATGAACAAAAAATGGATAAATTTTGAGGGAAAACAAGGTCATGAAACTAGTAACTGCATTCATGTTTATTCTAACATGTCAATGAAACAATTTGATTCGTTTTCTATACCTTACTGCTCGCAGGCACTCTCACAGTCATCTCATTATTATCCAAGTAATGTTGGCCAAACAACTTATAATTATCAAAAAGGCATTACCTTTATGATATCTTAAGAAGCCTAATTCTCTGTCACAATCCTATGACGCTTATGAAGAAAACCAATTATTATAACAATAAGTCATGTGGGAAGAAGAAAGGAACATTAATCACCTTTGATACCTGGTGCTACCTCCTGAGGGGCCACTTGTGCTCACAAACTCATCATCAGTCTCATCTACTCTATATTCCGCAAAGTCTACGGAATGCACTGAACCTTCATCAGAAGTTGATGAAGCATAACTAGAACAGCGAGTTCTCGTCCTAGTATCTCTGACTCTTGACCTTCTTCTATTTCTAGAATTCCTAAAATTATCAAACATCTGATATAAAATGCAAGAGGTCCACCAGTTGCCCTCATTACTAGGAAAGTCTTCCAATTCTTCTCTAGATTCATTTTCACCATATTCAATTACATAGTCCCCAAGAACCACTCCGCGTGGGACTTCTGAATGTATAGTGCTCAAAACATCTACTATCTCAGAGGACTGCTGGACATTTTCCCAATCAAGCTGCCGAGCAGGATCTAATCTTGAAGGGCATGCATGAGGGTGCTCTAATTGAGCATGGTTTTGTAGTTCCAAGAAGGTTCCTGCAAATGTGCACTGTTCCTCCTCACAAGAACGCTTCTTCTCATCTAGAAGTAAACGAGCTTTGTCAACAACAATCCATCCAGTGACTTGCCCTCTACATAGGGGACAAGTTGGCCTGCAGTTGTCTTCAGATTCTGCTAGTTGAACGTTTGTTGTAGAAGATGTATCATATATTTAAAGGAACGACATTCCATGTGCATTTTTGAATCGATCCAAACAATTTGAATGCATGTGATTTGTGTCGCAAACAAAAGCACGGCAGCCTTTCCCATAAGATGAGCATTGGAGGAGTACCCCATTGTGGGGGAAATCCAAACATATAGGGCAAATCACATCATCCCAATTGGTATTCAACTGAACACCCTCCATGTAAGACGATGTATTGGGTTGGTGCTCTCTTTCGTCAAAACGTTCAAAGGCCGTAAAGAGTTTGCATAATAATTTACAAGCATATGGCATGCACCTCCCTCATACAAGAAACTTGGATCAAAACAGGAAATTACTCTTTTTTGGACAAACCAACCAAGCTTCAAGGTGTCAAACAAGTAGAGCTGAACGTTGATAGTCTATATGATGCCACTAAAAAGCTGCACATGGCAGAAAATAAATCTCTTAAGTTGCAATAGGCAACAGTTTAATTGCATCTAATTTCCAAATCCAACAATCAAATAGGATGGACAGAGCCTCATAGAGATCAAGCAATTTTTAAGCTATAGATTGAGAAGGATTAAATTAATTTTACAACTAGTGAAAATCTTGAAACCAATAAAATGATCAGATGCCTATAATAGCATAGAACTGATTTCCAAACAGAATGATTTTACTTTGATGACATAATTGTTAATAACGATATACTAAAATGATAGCAAATGAAAGAATAAAGGGCATAGACAACAATGACAATGATGGAGAAAAGAAAAACACCGCAGTAAAACAACCGAATTCGTCACCATACCTAAACACCAACCCAAATGATCAATTGGGTATTCAAAAAAATGGGAAAAAGGAGTCCATAGATCAACAAATATAGTCAAAAATGATTACACCCAGATTGTTTTAGACATTAAACCAAAATTTAAAGCTGCCTACTTAATATATTTAAGGAAAACATAAAGAGGACGAACGAGATGTGAGAAAATTGGGGGCTTACCTTCGATGTATTATGTTTTGAAGTGAATTCGCACTTCCTTTCTCTAATGTTCTGATGGATAGAATTGAGAAAGGTCAGCTTTCTCCCCTTATTTTTGATGCAGTTGTTGAGTACTTGGATCGGTAAATGGTAATGGGTTGGCTCCTGCTGCTGATATTGACTCTCTATAGTATACACGATATAAAAGTAGAGGGGGTTAGTGGAAGGAGAAAAGAATGGAGGGGCAAAAATGGCAAATTACTTGTAAATATTAGGGACTTAGGGTTTTAATTGCCCAAACCTTTAAATATCAAGGACATGGGTTTCAATTGCTTCATAAAATTCCTACTCTTTTTTTCGTCTTTATTTGTGTCAACCATTGAACTTGGAGTTGCCATTTCCAGTTCTTATATTTTCATCGACATCATGTCATCTGAATCAGAAGAGCAGCAGCTGAGCAAGAAAGCCGCCAAAAAAGAAGCTGCCAAACAGGAGAAATTACGCCGCCGCCAGGAAGCTGCTGCCTTGGCCTCAGCGGCTTCTTCTCTTTCCGTCGAGGAGGATGATCCCTATTCCTCCAACTATGGCGACGTCTCTCTCCCGGAGCTCAAATCTTGCTCCCAAACAGATGCTGGCCAATGGAGCCTAGCCATTTCCTCCATGGAATGGACACCTGTTGGAGCTCTTACCCAGGATTTGAAGGAGAAAGAGGTGCTTATAAGGGGACGAGTCCACATAACACGACCAGTGTCGAAGAATATGTCATTCGTGGTGGTGAGGGAAAAGGGATTTACCGTCCAGTGCTTGGTCACTACGCAAGGAGAGGGAGTTAGTAGTCAGATGGTGAAGTTTGTAGCTGGACTCAACCGAGAATCCATCATTGATGCAATCGGTGTAGTATCTGTCCCTGGGAATCCGATCAAGGGAACCACCCAGCAGGTACCGACTTTTTCTAATAATGCTCTTCTTTTTCTTTCTTTATTTAACTGAAAAAAATGAAATTCAGATGTTCGTTGATGCACCTTTACTTTTTATTGTTCAAGGTCGAGATTCATCTCAGAAAATTGTATTGTGTGAACAAAGCTTTGCCCACCTTACCCATTAACGTTGACGATGCTGCTCGAAGTGATGCTGAGATTGAAGCTGCCTTGCTAGTATGTAATAAAATACCATTGTTTTGCTTTCACAACGAAAAAAATAAGCAATGTATACATCTATATATATCTGCATGCATGTTTATCATCACTAACCCGTCTTTCCTTTAATCTACTACAGAGTGGGGATAAACTTCCTCGTGTCAATCAAGATACACGTTTGAACTTCAGAGTTCTTGATATTCGAACCCCTTCTAATCAAGGGATTTTCCGCATCCAATGCCAAGTTGGAACCGTTAGTCTCAGAGGCTTTGCTGTTGCCAGCATCTTCTCTTTCTTTCTTGCTTTCTATCACTAATATTGTTACTGCATGCTATCACGCCTGCCCTTGCCATTGGCATTTTTCATGTCCATTAAAATTTTAACTGAACAGATATGGAAATGTCTTTGCGTTCATTACATTTCTCACATCAGATCAAGAACTTGGTTTTTGTTCACCATTGTTTAATATAGTCTCTAATCTCTAAAGAGTATAACTGTTTGTTTATTTTATTGTTTCCATCTTATATCTAAACTGCTAAATTTTTTCTTAAACAAATCAAAACATTCTGCAGATATTTAGGCAATTCTTGTTGTCTGAGGGTTTTGTTGAAATCCACACCCCTAAACTGATAGCAGGCTCGAGTGAAGGTGGTTCTGCTGTTTTTAAGCTTGACTACAAAGGGCAACCTGCATGTCTGGCACAGTCTCCTCAACTTCACAAGCAGATGGCAATCTGTGGGGATTTTGGAAGGGTTTTTGAGATTGGCCCAGTTTTCAGAGCTGAGGACTCATACACTCATAGGCATTTGTGTGAATTTACAGGCCTTGATGTTGAAATGGAGATTAAGAAGCATTACTCTGAGGTATGATTGGTTGTTGGCTTGAGTCATGTCTCCTGAATCTTCAATATGGTTTAATGGATATTTGATCCTCTATATGCAGGTGATGGACATTGTGGACAGATTGTTTGTTACTATGTTTGATGGTATGAATGAGAGGTGTCAAAAGGAACTTGAAGCCATAGGGAGGCAGTATCCCTTTGAACCTTTGAAGGTCTATATCCATTTTTCAGTTCTGCAATACTTATATAGCTATTAAGCTCCTGTACTATTTTGGAAAATTAAATAATCTCATATTAGCCAGTTAAATATTGCTGGAATAGAAAGAAACATGCAAATGTGGAATTCTTTTTTTTTTAAATTTATATTCTATTGTTAACTTTTGTAATGTGCAGTACAAGCCAAAAACGCTGCGTCTTACATTTGAAGAAGGAGTCCAAATGCTGAAGGTAAACTTGAAGCTTTTTGGTTATTTAAATTCAAGTCACTTGTTGCGGTATCTTTTTTCTTGTTTTTTTTTTGCACTCATGTTATAGAGGAAACAGGTGACATAATCTATGCACAATAAAAGTAATTAGAATGGTAGCAGGAGAGTATATAAGGTGGCAAAGGAAGTAATTTTCTTAAGTTATGCTTGGATTAGAAATCAAGCATTTCTTATAGATTGGCTATGTTAAAGGGTTGTCTTTTTTTTTTTGGCTGATATTGTTTCTAGTTCACCATCTAGTTTTTGTGTGTTTGTTCAGGATGCTGGTGTGGAAGTTGACCCTCTTGGGGACCTTAATACAGAAGCAGAAAGAAAACTGGGCCAGCTAGTTTTGGAGAAGTAATTTATAACTTTTATCTATTTCTTGTACATTTTTGTCTGCTGCTGGTTTCTTATACTGAATGTGATTTTCTAATTATGATTTTAAAACTGTTTATTATAGGTATGACACTGAATTTTATATTCTGCATCGCTATCCTTTGGCTGTGAGGCCATTCTACACCATGCCTTGTTATGATAATGCCCTTTATAGTAATTCATTTGATGTCTTCATTCGAGGTAATCAATTAGATCAATATTTCTTTTTTTGGTTCTCTTTATGCATCTTGATCTGTTTTTCTGTATGTGTGTGGCTACTTTTGTTCTTCTTAAGTATGTTTTTGTTAGACATTTTACTCTTTTAAATATATCTATTTAAAAAACTCCCTTTTTATGGTTTCTAAATTTTTTTATATCTGATATTCTCCTGACAAGGTTTCATGTGGGGATTTTAGTTTCATTGGTACAAATGGTTTCAAGAATGGACTGAAATTGTTAACTATCATGTCAGTGTCGAGAATAGTCATGTCCTTTGTAAATGAATGAAAATGTGAAATGAACTTCACAAATCTGGAGCTCTTTTGGAGTAGTGGTTTTCCTGCCTGGATGGCATTGTTAATAGAAGATTATAGTACAATATTGTGGCAATAATTGAGCAATGATTGGTTCACTGGATTAAAATAATGACCTTTTTAATTTGCTCTAATTGAATTTGCATCTAAACCTTTTTTCTGTTTGTATCCGCATGATATAACTACATTCATTGTCTGTTCCTTTTCCTAATGGGCTTACATTTGTTGCAAATTCTCTCTTTCTTTTTGTCCCCTTGTGTGATCTTAAACTTAGGAATCTCACCATTTTTATATTGTTATTCTCTTGAAACTTATATATGGTAATGTCAATAATGAAACTTGTTTAACTGTTTCTTTCCTTAGGTGAGGAGATAATTTCAGGAGCCCAGCGTGTCCACGTACCAGAATTTTTGGCAGAACGTGCTCAGGCATGTGGAATTGATGTCAATACAATCTCAACCTATATTGATTCTTTCAGGTAGTCAAAAATCGCCACTTTCTCGAGGACCTTAATTTCCTTCTAGTAATAAGTTTCAATAGTGAATCTGTATTGACCAAATGTTTGATCCGATAAGTACGAGCAGTTGTTATCATTGTTTGTTAATGTTTGAATAGTATCTACTGCTGAGGCTTTTCTTGGTGTTAACAGATTTGAATAGCTTAGAGTTCTTAATACTTCTGCACTTGTACAGATATGGTGTTCCTCCACATGGTGGGTTTGGAGTGGGATTGGAGCGGGTGGTGATGCTTTTCTGCGCTCTGGGTAATATTCGTAAAACTTCACTTTTCCCTCGTGACCCTCAAAGGATTGCTCCGTGATGACATCATTGACATGTTAGAGCAGTGCTTCATCTCAAGCTATTTCGGGGTTATTTTATTTGAAGTTTGATAAGGTGTTGAATGGATAGAGAATCGAAGGAATCTTACTACTGTTATGTATTTGGAAGTTGGATCGTTTTTGCTAGCACAATTTTCACTTTGTTCACTTGACTAATTGTTCGCTGTTGTATGTTTCGACTTTTGAGACATGTATTTAGAATAAGGCGACCATTAAAACACGAATTTTAAAGTAACTCTGCAGATGGGCAGGTCGGTTGTTGACTGTCTCGTGATATAAGCAAGCAATCAAATATTACTAGTCAACTTCTGTTCCTCCTTTTTTGCTCACATGCATCAAGTAGATTGATTGTTGCTCCAAGCCTTAATCTTCCCAAGGTACTGAATCTGGGTCATCTATAGATTTGGGGTTGATGGTATGCAATCTCCCATCACATACTTATCATCTTTCTCATGAATTTAATTTCAAGGACCCTTTAAAAGTGTTAACCTCTCCAATGGAAGGGCTGTAAGATATGTCCAAAGGATTCAAGGATTTGGGTATATGCTTGCAAGCATCGAACCTAATACAGGTTTAAAAGCAAGGGTCTTATTGTCTGTGGTGAGAACTACCAAAATTGAAATGCTAAGAAGTACCTCATGGAATAACCACCGGCATCAACTACATGCCAAGCTAGGGCCTAGGGCAAACCTCCGATTTTGGTCTCTAGCTCAGTTGTTTGGAGAGAATACGCTTTTGGTCTCTAGCTCATTTGTTTGGAGAATACGCTCTTGGTCGCTCTGGGTCTATAGCTCATATGTCATTCTTATAGATTCGAGACTTATCATCTAGTCGATAAAATCAAGCTCTAAAGAGATCATTACGACCATAGAGCAAATCAATTTTAGTTAACATTCACTAGATACGTCGGATTTTGGAATTTCAACTTGCTAACCTGCTACCTCATATTCAAGAAGGCTCCAATCTCTTCGTCTAACAAAAGATAACAAGAACAGTTACATTGACTTCATAAATCGCGTGCCAGCTAGTTTGTCCACAAGGACAAAAATATTCATTTTTTCAATGCAAACACAATTCTAACCTGAGAAATTATTATCAGAATTGCACGTCTTGTGCTAATCTTAGCCATAAACATGCAAATCGAACAAGTACAAGAGACAAATATATAATTGATCTTCTTTCAAGCACGCTTTTTTTACACCTTGCGCCTCAAGCAATATAATGGTTTTAACACCTAAAGAACAATCTTGTACCCTTGACAACACTGACTACATGACGGAAAATCTATTTTTCAACCGTGTTCCTCATAGGATGAGTATTAGAGGAGACTTTTTTTTATCTGGGTATCCTATCTTTCCAAGTTTCAAGGTATCTTTACGAATCATATTTTATACTTGTGTCTAGATTTGTGTTGGACACCGATTTTAGAAAAAATGAAAAAAGTAGGAGCTCAGTTTGCCAACAGCTAAACAAAGAGTCCCGTCAGCAAACCAAACAAAAGCATTCGGATAAAAGTAGAAAAGGGATGTCATTGGTAAACTTATACACGTGCAATTACCTCTTTGGTTCGATATCCATACACTTTTGATTCGTTAAGCATGACAGTAAGCTCCAATGCAACATCAGAAGGAAATGGAGCAGAATGACCTATATGCAATATAAGGTGGTGGAAAGTAAGGGTTGAGCTTCTTGTAGCTGTAGTAACCACAACCCTCTCCACCAAAGAGGAAACTATCTTGCTGCTTTTCAGGAATCATGGCTTAATAAGGAAAACAATAAGTGACAGCAGAGTATAATGTTACTGAAAAGGAAACTCTAGGAAACAAAATAAGAATCAAATCCCTAACAAATCAGTGGCAGTAACAACCAGTTGAATAAGCAAAAAGAAAACACCACAGAAAGACGTTGATCTAATTGAGAACCTGCTTTTTAACAATCAAAGAGTAGACGGATATGGCAGGCACTGCACGCACTCACACATATATATAGCTATAGTGAGAAACCACTTCACAGCTATTGTAATGCCCCAAATACTGATATAAGGACTATTTTGAAATGATTCAAAAATATTAGGATTTATACTAATGATTCATAAAGATGAGAATGGTTAGAATTAATGGTTAAGACTAAATTATGACTATTGATTTTTAAGAGGGCAATTTGGTCTTTTACATGAAAGAAAATTTAAATTGGTATTTATAATAAGGGAAAAGGGGATTAGGTTGAAAAGAACAAGCTCTCTTCCTTCCCCCAGAAGAGTTCTCTCATAAGCTCAAAGGTAAGTTTTAAATCAAATGGTTTATTCTTAAAATTTTGTTAGCTAATAAATCCTTGTATATGTTGGAAGCTTAATAAAGGTTTAGAGGGGATTAAAACCAAGTTAAGAATGAGATATCAAAGATTAAAGAAAATGGGTTTTATAATGATATGTTAATATATGAAGGTTTAGGAATGTTTGTTAGTAAATTTGACTTGTCAATGGTTGAATTAAGAGATATGAAGTGATAGAATTGAATTTAGAACAAGTAGAAAATTTGGTATGATTCTTGAATTCCATATGGAGGATGAGATTTTGAGGTTAAAGATGTGTTAAAGGGTTAGAAATGTGTTTGTGTATGTATCCTTGAGTTAAGGGTATTAAAGGAGTTAAGTTATGAAGTAATTGAGTTAGAATGAAGTGATTTTCGTGCTTAAAATATGATTTATGGGCTAGGGGTATTGGTACCCATTTAACAGGTACCAATACCTCAAAAGTAAAAATTCAGGAAGATATTCAAAGGGTATCGATACTTTAAGGAGTGTATCGATGGCCCCTTGAAATGAAAAAATATCGAATGTAATTTGGGCATCGATACCTAGGGAGTGTATCGATACACCAATTAAGGGATGTACCGATACCCTATAGAGTGTACCGATACCTACTTTAGATAGAAAATAAATTACCACTTCCTTCAGTTTAAGAAATGAGAAATTAGAGTATATTATTTGGAATACTGATATGTATAAATGTATGATTATGTAGACATTGAGCGTAAGCAAGTTCTGGAACAACTGAAAGGTTAGAATTGATCAAGAAGAGAAAGTAAGCCATAGAGGTAATTAATAGCAAGTGAGGCACAGGTGAGTACATTTAAATATGAACATATATGTTATGATAGACTTAATTGTATGACTTATTAATGTAAATTGGTGATTTCCAAAGGGCACTAAGTGTGAAAAATATAAGAAATCATACTAAGTGTATGAATTTCAGATAGGGCGTTTCGTACGCTAAAATGTTAAGAAATCATACTAAGTGTATGAATTTCAGATAGGGCGTTTCATACGCTAAAATGTTGAGAAATCATACTAAGTGTAAGAATTTCAGATAGGGTGTTTCGTACGCTAAAATGTTAAGAAATCATACTAAGTGTATGAACTTCAGATAGGGCATTTCGTACGCTAGAATGTTAAGAAATCATACTAAGTGTATGAATTTCAGATAGGGCATTTCGTACACTAAAATGTTAATAAATCATACTAAGTGTATGAATTTCAGATAGGGCGTTTTGTACGCTAAAATGTGAAGAAATCATACTAAGTGTATGAATTTCAAATAGGACATTTCGTACGCTAAAATGATAAGGAAATCATACTAAATGTTTGAATTTCCAGATAGGGCACTTCGTGTGCTAACATGATAAGGAAATCATACTAAATGTATGAATTTTCAGATAGGGCACTTCTTGTTCTAACATGATAAGAAATTCATGCTAAGTGTATGAATTTCTGTATTGGACATTTTGGGTGCTAAAGAACAAGAAATTCATACTATGGGTATGAATTTCCGTATGGAAACATAAGGGTATACACATAAGAACTACATAATAAGGAAATGGATATTTATATTGGTAATGGGTATGCCAACCATATAGATTATAAAAATGGTTGAGGGATAACGGTATAAGCACTACATGTGCATCTTAATAAATGAATATAAATAAGATGTTGGTAAATTACCATGTGATCATTAAGGGTCCGAATGTATAAGGTTTATAATAAATTAAAAAGAGAGTTAATTGGTATTAAAAATAAGTATTAGAATAGAAATTATTCCAAAATAAAAGATGTGATGGCCTAGCTGTGCAATTGATAGAAAAGTGTCAATTATGCCAGTTAGATTAATGGTTAAGTACCGTTGAATAAAAGAATAATGGTTTAACTGTGCATTTGACAGAAAGATGTCAATTATGCCAGTTAGCTAAAGGGTTAAACACTGTTGAGTAAGAGAATAAAGGAATTTGAACGTATTGTGATACGATTGGGGCATAAGTGATATGAAGGGATAATATATATATATATATATATATATATATATATATATATATATATATATATATATATATAATGTATAACCACACATAATTGGTATGGATGAATGTCATAAATGAAATGTATAATAGTGTATAAAAGCATGAAAGGATGTCATAGTGGAAATGGTATAATGGTTTATTATAAGCATGATGGGATACTATCAATGAAAATAAAGGTTTAGGACTAAAGAAATAAATGGAGAAGAAAAACATAGAGGAAGATAGGTATGCTAGGCATACTAAAATACTTAAGATAATTGTGAATGAAATACAATTTAAATGAGGTGGATCATAGAATCCTTAAAGAATATACGATTTAGTAAAAATTAAATAAAAATAACATACTTATGTATACACAAAGGTTAGTTTATAATATTATGTCTCATTAAGTAAATACTTAACGTGTGTTATTTCCATGCGTAGGTAAAAATGGAGATAAGGTGGGTAAGGAGTGCAGCAGTAGCTGTGGGTATCATTAGTTAAGGTTGACTCTCATCAGTAACAGTAGGACAATCTGATTCAATCTAAGAACTTAGTTGGCATGTAATTAAACTATGATAAATATTTTGTAATGTAATCAAGTGAAGATATGAGTTTGTTGCTTTCAAAAATATTCTATTTAGTGATTAATCAAATTGAAACAAAATTTTATGGGTTTTCAAATGACAAATATTTTTTTAAAAGTGATGTGACATCCATATCTCGTGTACGGAAGGGTATATGTGAGATAAGTGTTACATTTATTGGTATCAGAGCTATATGTTTAGCCAATTCTCTGCCAAATCTGGGTTTAATTGAAT